TTAGTCATTTCGAAGTTAGTTTTTTGCAGAATAGGTGCGCGGCTTGGAGCCTAATTCTGATGCTCTTTTAGCTATTTTTTGATTTTTTTTTAGCTGAATTTTGCATGTCATAGCAATAATTTTGTATGTTTGCTGTTGATTTGAATAAATTCGGCATTTTTTCGAAACTTAAACTGTTTATGCGTCTTTGCTTATATGCAAAAACACATATTGTGACGACCCCAGTGTGTGTGTGTGTATGTGTGTGTGTGGTGTGTATGTGTGTGCATGTGTTTGTGTGTGTGTGCGTCTGTCCGGGTATTTCAACTCGACGCCCAAGCAAGCTTTGGCGCCAAAATTTTGCGAGTGGGTTCCCCGGCCAGTCGCCATCCCAGGACCGCAGTGCCAATTCCCACGCAAGTCTGGGCCCCTGGTACGAGGGGGTGAAAGTTTTGGCGGGAAAATCGCTAACTTGGGAACCAGAAAGGCTGGAAAGCTGAAATTTTGAGGTTATATCCCCCGTCTCCATAGAACTCAAATATTTCAAATTCAGCCACCAGGCACGCGTGGTTCCCACGTACGGTCCCGTGAAGGTTCCTGGCGCGAAAACGCTAACTCGGGAACAAGGGAAGCTGGGAGCTGAAATTTTCAGGGAATGTTCCCAGCACATGTGCAATTTAAAATTACCAAATTCAGTCCCTAATCGTGTGTGGTTGCCACGTACGGCCCCATGAAAAATTTTGCCGGGAAAATGGCTAACTTAAAAACCAGGAAAGCTGAAATTTTCAGCAAATATTCACAGCACATGTGGAAATTAAATTTAACAAAATAAGCCCCCAGCATCTGTGGTTATCACGTACGGCCTCGTGGAATTTTTTGGCGCGGAAATGACTAACTCGGGAACCAGAAAACCCCGGAGACTGAAATTTTCAGGAAATTTTCCCAACCCAAATACGGCTTAAATTTACCATACTCAGCCCCAGGGGCGTACGTGGTTGTTATGCATGGTTTCTTGAATATTTTTGGCAGGTAAATTGCTAGCTCAAGAAGAAAATTTCGCCGAAAGCTGAAATTTCGCCGAAATGTCCCTTGTCCAAATACCGCGTAGACAATTAACTTCCCAGACTTCGAGGATCAGTATATCACACATTTCTAGATAACGTGTTTCGAGCGATCCCATTACAGCGCGAAATATTACAAAAACGCATGATCGCACGGGCCCACTCGGTGCGCGTCACCAATGATTTTCCTTTGCTACTTCAATATTTAAGATTATCAGGGCACTTAAAAGAAATTTTTCTTTCATTCAATCCAGATCATAAAAGCATCACTGTTAACCTGGAAATAATCCAGAATTCAAATTAAAGTTTGAGGACTGCAGGGCTAGTGAATTTAATGCTCTTGATATGAATAATTCCATTTTATTTCATGTTCAAAATTCTTTACCAAATAGCATATCCTAGTGCTTTTAGGCTTTCTTTCCCTGGCTGCTAAACCTTTAAAGTAATAAATCAGAAAATCAACAATTCAAAAAAAAATCTGCAGAAAAATCCAGAAATTTTTTGGATACCTGCCGAGCGAGTGGGAATAACTCGTCGCGCCTGGTTAGCAGTGCTGGTTGTCGAAGACAGAGCTGAGCAGCTGCTTCATTGACTGAAACCTCGTGCAACGTTAATGGCTTGTCCGGTTTTCGCTTTGCATCAAATCTTCCGTAAATTGCCGAATATTTACGAAATTCAAGTAAACGTTGCGGCGATCCGTACGGCAGCTGCATCACATCCAGCAATTCCCTGAATCCAGACTTTTTTCAGTAAATTGACGCATCTAGACAAAAACCAGTATTTTCAGGAATACATGTGAAGTGAACAATTTCATATTCTCGTGGAACTCGAGCTTTGAGTGTGCCACAATTTACCGGACCGACTTTTCGTGAAGACTTACGAATAAAATGATGAAGACGTACCGGCTAATCTTCTTCTTATTTTGTATCAATTTCGGTTCAAGCTGCGGCATTTGTTCAATCAGGCGACTGGAACACTGCGCTAAACGTCCAATTTGCGCTTCCGTCAATGCAGGTGTATCCGAGCTCGGTCCTGCACCTGTAATAGCCAGGCATCAGCAGTTTTATGAAAAATAAAGAAAAAATCTAACAAAAAAAAAAACTAGCGGAAAATAAAGACTTTTGTAACCAATACACGTGAAGAAGCCAGCAATGCTAACGTACCAATCACGTTGACGAAACTAATGCTGTGAAGAAATCGGCAGAGCACTGTACTGGTGGAGCAAATGTGTTGATGCTAATGAATGTAAGATATCGAATGTGAACAGGTGTGAAGAGTTCGGCAATATTAATGTACCAATGGCAAGTATATGTTGATATGAGTGTGTTTAAAGAATAAATACACGCAAAAAGACTATTAATCAAGTAACATGCAGATGCACAATGTAAAAGGAGCAGTGCCAAAAAGAGGTAGAAAAATTTTATGACTAAAAAGGAATGCTTATAAAATTTGTTGCTCCTAACTATTTTGGGCAGTAAAGCTTCCAGCTCATAAAAGCGCGTGGTACTCGTGAAAAGGAAAATGACTGTTGAAAAAGCAGTGGAACTAAACTCAGCGCTGAAGGACTTGACGTATCTACGTCAACCGATGTGCCGCAGAATCCTGGTAATAACGGAGTCCCTTATCGAGCAATCTCAGTGAAAATTTTATGTTGCAAAAGAAACAGCGAGAAAGCAAGAAAACGAAAAATTTTCTGCATGGAGGCTAAAGCCCTTTCGCCTTGCCTAGTTGCCCTTCGGTTCCCTGTGATGTATGCAAGTGTCCCGTCCATTGACTGGTGTTCCCTCCTCCGTGACATTTAATGTGATCAGAAGAAATGAAATTGGAAGTATTTTTTGAATCAGGAGCTTGTGCGGCAGCAGCTCGGTGTTCCGGGTATTCTCCGGTTTGTCGTTTGTTCTTTTTTTGATTTGTTTTGAGACTGTACTAATAAAGAGGTGTTAAATTGTGTTTTGTGTTGAGCGCATTTCCGCCAGATCCTCCCTATCGTTACATCTATGCACGGATTTTCTGCACAGAAACTGCATAATAACCAGAGAGTCTCACGTATATGGGTGGCACAGAGTTCGGCCTTTTCCCCTTTCCTTCATAAAATCAGCGTTTCAATCGTTTTGCTGACGAAATCCAGCTGAGATGATGAGCTAAGAAATCTACAACTTAATGGACCGAAACGTCTAATTTCTACACTATGGT